TTTAGAATTTTGTCAGATTTGTAATTTGAATTACAAATCTTGTATGCAAGATAAATTTTGTACAAATTTGATAAGATTCAGATTTAGTAATCTGTAATTTATGTTACCATTATAGTTACAATTTTGGCCAAAATTAGAAGAATTGATTATCAAAAAAGTAAGAAATTTTGGGGCAAAAAATATTTTTTTTAGGTATTTTTAAAAGCTGTTTGAAATACTAAAAAGCTCAATTTTTATGCTAGAAAGATTATTTAGAGCTTGTTATAACCGGAAGAGGCTGGCCAACAACTTTACTTAAGAGCACAAGAGAGATTTAGAAGCTGGTTTTAAAGATATTTTACAATTCCGAAGTACTTAGTTTTTTGAATATAACTCTGCTTAAAAGAAAGCAAGAATTATAAAACTAAGCTAGTAGGATGTAAAATATGTGTAGAGCAAGTTTACTTAAGGGCACTTGCTTGGTTTACTTAGTAAAATTTTAAAAAAGATTGGTTTTGTTAAAAAATTTTTTGAGAAAATTTAGTACAAAGGATCTACAAATTAAGTGCTTCCTAATTATTAACATTAGAGATACTGGTTTTTGTACTTTAGCTAAACTTGTTATTATAATAGAATATTGCAAACTTTGAGCTATCTGTTAAGTCTTTTCTGTTAGAAAAGAAAACTATATACTTTTTATATTATTATAATTAGTATTTTTAAAAATTTATACTGCTTTTGCCTCAGTATATCTGACTTATCTTTATAAAAGAATTTTACTAGTATTTTCTGGTAAATTAACTAATTTTCTTATATACTTATTTTATTCTTTAAGTTTTTTAAAGCTGTTAGCTCCTCTAGTTATTCTTATTAGATACTTACTCATAAAAGGTATACACTATAAATTCTCAAGTTCTTTTATATTTGCTATATCTATTATAAAAGTAATTTCTACTTTAGTTTTGTTCTATTATTCTCTTAGTATTTCAATATATGCAACTCTTTCTAAATACTATACTTATTCAAAAACCTAAGTTTTTTTTGTCTAACTCAGAAGGTTCTATACTACTATTAGATTATTATTATTATTAAACTCTTTTTTTAAGTTTGTTTATACTAATATATTTGAATTTCTTCATTCAGTACTAACTCTTTTATAATTATTTTGATGAGGTTTTTTTTTTCTCTACTCAAATATTTTTTTTAATTCTCTTTAAGTATACTCTTCTCTTTCACTTCTACTCTCTTCTCTTTTAATTTCTTTCTTGTCTTTACTTTTTGAGTTTTTTTTTGACTTATTTTTTAAGTTGTTTCTAAAATAAGTTTAAGTTTTTTATATTCTTCTTTAGAATTTTTTAGCCTTGTCTTAGCTTCTTTAAACTCTTTCTCACAATTAAATATAATTATATACTATTAATTTCCTTTTATAAATTTTTCTATAATATCTTTTATATATATATTTTCTCTTAATAACTATTTTAATAATTTAATTCTATGCTCAGTACTATCTCTAGTAATATTAATTGCTACTACTTTTGCTATAATATCTTTTTATACTCATATTTATTTTTTTTTAGATGTCTAAATACTTTTTTCTAATATGACACTTTTATAACTTTCACTATCTAGATTTTTTGTATTTTCTAACACTTCTTTGTCTCTATTACTATTATTATCTGTATCTTTAGTATCTTTTATTGCTCTTATATCTTCTATTATCTTAGTTGTTTCTATATATAAATTGCTTGCAATTAATATTTCAGAATTAGAGTCTGGTTTTGTTTTAGTATTAAATATATATATATATTTTTTTAAATTCAGCAGTTATACCATGACTTTATTTAGATTTGTTTTTCAATTGAAAACAGCATTAATTAGCTATATACTATCTAATATCTAATTTTTTAAGCCTTGACTCACCCGGTTATCCTAAGGATATCTATGTGCAATCTGCCATAGTGACCTTTGTCCTATACTAATGTGACTTATACCGAGTATAAATTATATATAGCTAATAGGAAGGACGCTACAACCCATCATAACTAACTTAAAAACTAACTAGCTACTACTCCCTCCTTTACTTCCCTGACTATACTATCTAATGCTATTTTAAGACTAATATTACAATTTTCTGTGTTCTCGTCTACTCTACCACTTGCTTTTTTTGTTGTAGCTTCTTTTTTGAATCATTTTTTCATT